GGCCATATCTCCATTCAGTAGCAGGTTTTCACTTGACCTTCCTGATTCCAGGCCAGTGCCTCACTCTACTTCCTACTGTGTCCAAGGTGCCCAAATCTAGAGCTTCTCCGATTTTCCCTATGAAATACCTTCTGTCTCCAGAGGAGAGAGGATCTAGAAGGTATTCATATCAACATTCAACAATTTCAGTTTTCAATCCCATGCCATACCTCCTCTTCTCATAATAACTGGTGGCCCCATTTTTGAGTTCTTCTGAGGTTTTGGAGGGCACGAACAAGACTTGCTCCCCACTGTGATACTTCTCTAAAATCACTTAGGTTCTATTAATTTCCTCTTGTTACCACTCTTCCATCTGCTTTTCATATTTATATCTCATGGTTCAAATTACAGAAGTCTTCTGATTTCAAAGACCAAGTTTCTGTTTCTTATTCTCCTTGTTTTGGGTGATAATTTCCCAGAGAAGAGGACAAAAACAGCTTTATTTTGCCATTTTAAAACTACAAGTTTTCCTTATATGCTTTTGTATATCTAACAATGTAACAGAGTACTTGGCCCCTAATAGATATCCATTAACTACTTGGTTAATGAATGACTAGATATGGTAAGAATACAGACTAAGCTGCTATAAGAAAAAGGTCTCAAAATGCAATGACTCAAACAAGGCAAGTACCTTTTTTTTTTTCTCATAGAGCAGTCTGTAGGTTAAGAGGACAGTTTAGGCCAGGTGCAGTGGCTTGCACTTGTAGTCCCAGCACTTTAGGAGGCCAAGGTGGGAGGACTGCTCAAGTCCAGGAGTTCTTGACTAACATGAGCAACATGGTAAGACCCTCTTTCTACAAATAATAATAATAACAACAAAACAACAACAATAAAAAAGAGAGTAGTTTAGGGTGAAGAGTTGTCACCGGACCATAAGGCCAGTAAGGGACCCAGGTTTCTTCTCTTGTTATGCTCCACCTTCTCTACTGCCTTGTTCTGATTCAAACTGGCTTATCATCACATTCTGCATTGTAGCTTACAGAAAAGGGGCCAATCAACCTGCAAGAAAGCCTACCAGTTGACAAGCTCCATACATACATCTATTATTTCACAGTTTTTGTGGGCCAGGAATCTGGGCCAACAACCATGTGAGCCTGGAAGCAGATCCTTCCCCAGCCAAGTTTCAGATGAGACTCTATCCCTGGCCAACACCTTGATTGCAGTCTGACAGTGTTTCTGAACCAAATGATGCAGCTAAGTTCTGCCAAGACTGCTGGCCCACTGAAACTGGAAGATAATAAATGTATGTAGTTTTATGCCACTAAATTTGGGGGTAATTTGTAACATATCCAATAGATAACTAATACAACATTTCAACTTTCACTATATAAATTATTACTAGTTGACAAAAGGAAAACTTTTAATTGCATATTAAAGGCAAACACAATTTAAAAGTATAAGGCTAATAAATATTTTGACAATCTTTTGGATTTAATACTATTAAAGAAATATTAAATACTAGGCTTTTATCTAATACCTAAACCTAATTCATATAATCTGGAGTGATCTGCTCAAGCACCTCACCCATATTGCTGGTTATATCTTAGTCCTGCACTTTTCCAATCTATCTCTAGAATGCAATTTTCTCCCAGATGTAAATGCTACTAATGCCATGAGTAAGAGCAAGTACAAGCCATGTAACATCATGATGGAAAATGCTTTAATTTTAGACTAGAGAGAATAAAAAAATTTGAAGGTTTTCCTTCCAAAGGAATTGTTACACAAATTAAAAAGGTAGCTGAAGGCATGAAAAACATAATTACACTGATCATTTTTACATTTGTTTACATGTAAATCTATAAATTACAGACTAAAGAAATAAACTGCCTCAAATGGTTTGGGAGAGAGTAGGAATCTAGACCAAATCTGAAGGTAGCTCCAGGCACTAGGTCCCATGCCTGGGTCCTTGTACTAGCTAAAATTTAATCCATGCATTCATTTAATTAGCAAATAGTTATTGAACACCAACTGGGTATTAGGCATGAGATACAAAACAAAGAATAAGTCAGACTTGGTCACTGTCTCACGTAGCTCACAGTTTAGTAGGAAATACAGACAAATAAATATGCGACGGAATCTGGTGTGGTGTTGTCATTTAGGGTACGCATAGGCTGCTATGGCAACACAAAGGAGAAATGCTTAACACGAGGTAGAAGTGTAAGCAGTAGTTGTGTCAGGAAGTGTCTCAGTTGAAATATCTAAACTTGGATCTGAAAGATGATTACGAATTAAATGGAAGGAGGTGGTAAGGGAAAGAATTCTGAGAGAAGGAACATCACCCATGAAAGCCCAGAAGAGAAAGAAAAGCTGGCACATTTGACTGGACTCTACAGTAGAGGGCAGAGGTATGTGGCCAGAGAGGTGGAAAGAAGTATGTAAAGGCCTTATTATGCAGGGCCTGGTAAGTCATGTTGCAGAGTCTGGAATTTATTTAATGGGAGCACAAAACTACTGAGGTGTTTTAAGCAGAAGAGTAAAATGATTTGATTCTTCTATAACTGACATAACGTTTATGAGTTTGTTTGATTTCTGAAAAGTTAACTTTCCCAAGATGTTAAAAATATATAAAAACACATAACTTTAAAAAAAAAAAATATATATATATATTAGCGATAAGCAGATGGAAGACATAGCAGAAAAAAACTCCATTTACAATGTATCGAAAACTATAAAATACCTATAAGTTATCTCAATAAGAAATGCCTAAGAACTATATGTAAGAAACTATAACATTTTTATAAAGGATATACAGGAATATCAGAGGCTGGGTGTGGTGGCTCATGCCTGTAATCCTAGCACTCTGGGAGGCCGAGGTGGGAGGATCATTTGAGCTCAGGTGTTCGAGACCAGCCTGAGCCAGAGTGAGACCCCGTCTCTACTAAAAATAGAAAGAAATGATCCAGACAACTAAAAATATATATATAAAAATTAGCCGGGCATGGTGGCGCATGTCTGTAGTCCCAGCTACTCAGGAGGCTGAGGCAGAAGGATTGCTTGAGCCCAGGAGTTTGAGGTTGCTGTGAGCTAGGCTGATGCCACGGCACTCTAGCCCGGGCAACACAGTGAGACTCTGTCTCAAAAAAACAACAACGACACCAAAAAAAAGCAATATGTTCAAGTTCTAATCCCTGGTACCTGTGAAAGAGACCTTATTTGAAAACAGGGTCTCTGCAGGTGTAATGATATTAAGATGAGGTCACATTAGGATGGCCCCTAATCCAATGACTGGTGTCCTTATAAGAGGGAAATTTGGACAAATAGACACAGGGAGAACATCATATGATGACTAAGGCAGAGATTGGAATGATGTGTCTACAAGCCAAGGAATGCCAATAAACACAAGAACCTAGAATAGGCAAGGAAGGAGCCTCCTTGAGAGCCATCTGTTGTTTCAAACCACACGATTTGTAGTAATTTGTTATGGCAGCCCTAGGAAACTGATACAAGGGGTATATGGCAATTTTATATACGATAAAAGGTATCTTAAAGGAGTGGGTAAAGAACAGATTCTATTTATTTAGTAAGTAGGGGTTAGGACTACAGGTCATCCATTTAGAAAGAAAAGTTAGATTTCTACCTCATATGAGGTACTCAAATTCCAAGTGGATCACAGATCTAAATACAAACAAAACAAAACAAAACAAAACCTATAAAAGTAGTAGGTCAAAATGTAAGAGGATATTTTTATAACTTTAGTACAGGGAAGGATTTTCTAACCAAAACTTGAAACCCAAAAGCCAGATGGGACCATTTAAAAATTAAAACTTCTGTGCATAATACAATGAAAGACACATATTTAAAAAAATAAGAGGGAGAAGATATTTGCAAAGTATATAATAGACATGGAGTTAATGTCCAGAATATATACAGAGATTATACAGACCAATAAGGAGACAACCAGTAATTCAAAAGAAAACTGGACAACATAAAATAACAAAGGTCAATGATGTATGGATACTTTACTAATAATCAAATGAGAAGCAAATTAAAATGGTAAAGTATTTCAAATTAAAAATATTTTCTGATAATATTCAGTGTTGGATAGGAAATGACTGAACAGGTATTCTCATACATTGAAACTTTTACAATCTTTCTAGAGGGCACTTTGGTAATATCTACGACATTTAAGTGTTCATACTCTTTGCTCCAGCACAGCCTTTTCTAAGACTGTATCCTACTGAAACACAAGTTCACAAAAATAAACAGGAAAAATTACATTAAATATAGGATACATAAAATAGAATACTGTGTAACTATTTTAAAAAGAGGTAGATCTACATGTATTGTCATAAAATGATGTTCAAGATATGTTAAGTAAAAAAAGTTGCATAATATATGCATTTTGCAAACATAAATAATTGTCTTATGTATAGAATAACAAGAAGACTATAACCAAGCTGCTGACAATGGTTATTCTGTGTGGGGGGTAGGGAACAATTTATTAATTCATTTATGTAATATTTAATGAGCATCTATTATGTGCCACGCACATTGGTCTAGGGGACGGGGATTCAGGAGTGAACAGAAAAATGATGAGGAAATGGCAAATGTCTACTTTCTATGTTAAATATTTCTGTAAAGTATGACCTTTATATTTTTGTCTTTAGTAAATTTACAGTTTGATTTTTTAAAAACATAAGCTTCAAGGCACTAATGAAAAACTTTCAACAACACAAAGCAATTTGTTTTGTCATTCTCTTAAAATCAGTCTTATCAAACAGTTTTTTTTTTATTTCAGCAAATTATGGGTGTACATATGTTTAGGTTATGTGTGTTGCCCTTGGTTCCCCCCCCCACCTTTTTAAAAAGGTCCCTGACATATTCAAGAATGTATTTTGGTAAAATTAATGTGAAAGCATCAACAAGTCTAATATTATATAATGAGTACTTTGCTCAGTTTAAAAAAATAATTTCATGGTATCTGATTTATCTATACCCTTGTGATATAATATTTTACTTACAGTTTGTGGATTAATCTCTTCCTCTCCCATAGGTTCATCCATAATTTGCTGTCCATTCTGTGAAAAGCACAGCAAGTAGAAAATTACCAAAACAGACATCACATCAGTTAAATTTAAATGAAGGCAGACCAAAAAAAAAATCATTGAGGAATATTTTCACCCCTAAAGGGCTCTAATGAAGTAGAACCACCATATAAGTATGCGGTTGCAAATCTGCAACAGGTTATGTCTCAAAAGTTAATCTGTAAATTAATTATTTGAAACTATAAAAACATTTTTCCATGGAAACAATGTAATAAATGATGATTACCTTTCCAGGTGAGCCCTTGAGTTTAATAGGTAAATGCATTACATATGGTCTTATTTAAGCCTTATCAAACACCATTTACAACACTTTATATGACAAAACACATTCTAAATTCCAACTCCACTGATAATTAATCAGGGTAACTGATTAATTATTTCAGAGAAAATCAAGCTCAATCTCTACATCAAAATACATTCCAAATGGATTAAACATTTAAATGTCAAAAAGATAAAATTATACAAGTATTAGAATATAGGTGAATAATACTCATGGGGTAAGGAGGGTTGAAATCATAAAAAAAAAGGACATTGGAATCCATAAAAGTTTAAAACTTTTTCTGCCAGACACAAAAAAGATAAAAGACAAATTGATTACAAAAAAAGAGCAACATATGACAAAGGGTTGGTATCCTCAATACATAAAGAGCTTTGTTTTACAAACCTGTAAGAAAAAACGATGAACCTCAACAGAAATGAGCAATAAGGGAAAAAAGAGTTCAGCCTTAGTACTCATCAAAGAAATGCATTTAACCCAAAGATACCTTTTGCCTTTCGAATTGGTAATGATTTACAAAAAACAAAACCAAACCAAAAAAAAAAAAAAACACTCAGTGCTAATGTGGGTATGAGGGAAAGAGCACTCTGGATACACTGCTGGAGAAAGTGTAAATCAGCACAACCTTTCAGAAGGCAATGTGAGTCAGTGTTTAAGAATAAAAACACCACCATAACATTTTGAAATGTCCCATCAATTCCACTTTTTTAAAAAAATGGACAAGTGTATAAAGATGTACATACAAGGAAGCTCACCATAATTTTTTTCCCAAAAAGAACTCCAAATTGGAAACCTACATTCCTAATAGATAACTAGTTAAATATATTATTGTACATCCATATGATGGAATATTATACGGTCATTAAAAATGATGATAAAGATGTAAATTTATTGACATGGAAAGACAGTCACATGTAATAAGTGAAAAAGCAGTTTATGAAACAATATGGATTGTAATGATCCCATTTTAAATAAATATATACATATTTCAATGTATATATTTGTATGGGAAAAACTCTGGAAGGATATACACCAAAATGTTAACAGTGGCTATCTCTGGGTGGTAGAATTTTAGACAATTTAAATTTTGTTTGTTTTTGCTTATTTGAATATTCTAATGTGTCTACAATGAATATGTATTGTTTGTGTAATTTTAAAAAACAAACAAAAAACAGAAGTCAGGAACACATAGTGTCTTCTCTCACTCCTTCACTGGAAGAAGGAGTAGCTCCTGACTACTTGTTAATTCAACAAGTGTACAAGGATCTCTAACCATCTTTGGAGGATTATCACCCCATACCCTACATGAGGAAGCTGCTCTGAATATGAAATCCTCTCTCTACTCTTCCTATCCCTATTTGCCATCCATCCATTCATTCATTCATTCCATTCATGCTATGTTCTAGTAGGTACTGACCTGGAGATGAACGTTAATAAAACATGGCCCCCATCCTAAAAGGTCTACTGACCTTACAAAAAGGGCACCTTTCAATTTCATCCACTCATAGAGAGGATGTTCCTAGATTAGGGGATGCCTCGACAATACTACAAAAAGCATAGAACCGGTGCCAAAATGCAGGAAAAGGGGGGAGGCAGGTATAAAATCTCTGTTTTCCTAAGACATGCTCAGAGGTGACAATACTGCCCACTTCTTTGGTAAGGACACTCAAATATCTCCATGATCCTTCTTTCTCCTAAAAGCTACAATCATTTATTCAACTGACTACTGGTTGTTTTTATCCAAACATCTCAAAAAAGCCTTAAACCAGTTCTTAAGAACACTGGCTTTGGAGTTAAGACATGGAGATTCAAATTCCTGCTCTTACGCTACTAATTATAAAGCCTTGGACAGGTTTTTTAACTGTCTAAGCCTCAGTTTCATCATACGGAAAATGAGAATTAAAAAGTCTTATCTTCAGAGGGTTGTTGTGAAGACCAAATGAGATAAGTGATATAAAACTCTAAGCATAGTGTCTGGCACTTAGTAAACAATATTAGCTATTTTTATTATGTCGAAAATTCAATCACCTCACCTGTCGCCCACCAAGCTGCTCCCTCTCCTATATTTGCTATCTTCGTGAAAGGCACCATTATTCATCTAGTAGCCCAAACTAGATTTTCTCATTCGTTGTAAACAGTTATCTTTCTATAACACAGATCTGCTCGGTGATTCTCCATTAGTTAGCTTTTAGAAATCTCAGTCTAACTTGAGCTGCACTTACATTTTCTATGGGAATAAAATTTAAGAACTATCTGCTCCTTGCAATTTTCAATGTATGCAAAGCAAGCATCACAATTTACAACTTACTTTTAGAGTAAACTGGTACAGTAGAAACAGCACTGAACGTGGAATTCATAGACCAGAGTAGAGCCTAAGTCTGCCACTTATAAGCTTTATGATATTGGATGATTCAGATTTTCTCTTAGCCTAATTACTTCACCTGTTCAAAATGGAGATGCCTGCCCTGTCTACCCAAAGGGTTATTATTAGGCTCAAAAGTAAGATAACTCATAAGAAAGCATTATATAAACTGTAAAGAGCTGTGCCAATGCAAAGTACTATTACTTAGGTGAGGTAGCTTAATGAGGATAAAATCATACTCCATAAAGTGCTTTTGATCTTGGAATAAAAACAGCTTAGGATTGGTAACGGATCGTGAAAGTCTTCTGTTCCAACTACATATCATATGTGTCAATCCTTTTTACCTTGATCTCGCTTATACTTCAACGCTACCAGGACAAGAATACTACCTCACCTGGCAGCCTACTACCCTATCTCGGAAAAAGTACTGCCTCATATATAAAATTCTTCATTATATAGTAATTTTCCTCAGCCACAAATTCTCTTGCCTATACACTATCTGCAAAGTTACAGAAAATAAATCTACATCCATGACTATAAACCACCGTCAGTCTTATCTTTTCTAGATAACTCAAGTTCCTTCAAACATTCCTTTAAGATGGATGAGACTCATCATCATCGTTTCTGAGCACACTCCAATTCATCTTAAAGGGTGGTGTATGGAATCACAAGCAATTAACATTCCAATCCTGATAACAACCAATGCAGAGTAAAGGGCATATGCATTATTTCTGGAATGCCCACAACACAATGCTGACTCATATAAAATTTTATGCTGATTAATCCTTGTCTTCTTTACGTACACTGCAACCAAGCCCTGTAACCTCTATCCTGTATCTGTTGTTACTCTTAGTCCCATGAATAAGGCCTTATTTAAAATTTTTAATTCATCTTTTTCCAGCTCTGACCCATTGCTACAGTCTCTATAGACTGGATTCCAAATCTGTCAATCAGCCTCTTCAGTATTTTCAGTTACGTGTAATCTCAAATTTTATAATATACTTTCTTTTCTCAACTACCCACCCATATAATTAACAGTACAATATATACTAACAAAGCAATCTAAGAAAGAAATTAAGTGAAACAATCTAAAAGGCATTTTATGCTGTACTTTTTGTAAAAATATCTACTTTCTTCCTGAGTTCGACAAAGATTTAAAATTTTGAACTTAATTTTAAAGGCAGGAAAATATGAAAGCCAATGTTGTCCTACATACCAGTGAAACTTTACAAAGCTTTTTCTACCAAAAAAGCACCTTTATTCCAATGAATCTTTTGTATCACTTCATCAAAACAAGGATTCAAATATTATCTATTAGAAATGAGCGAAAAGTTACTTTCACAGTTAAGAAGTTTCCCTTTTGAAACATGACCCTTAGTTTCATTAGAGTTTAGGCTAATGGATCATCAGTCTGACTCAATATTGTACTTTCTGTAGTTCCCGAAGTTCAAGGAATAGTACCTATTAAACAAGAAAATGTATTTCTCTAATTTTAAGAAACAAATAGAAAAAACATGTGTTCTGAGGCTGGCCAGCACCAGGTTTAAACCCCAGCTCTGTCACTTGCTGGTATAGTTACCTGAACTTAGGTAAGTTACTTAACATTTTGAGCCTCAGTTTCTTCATTTGTAAGATGCATATAATATCTACCCACAAGGACGTTATAATTAAAAGGATTCACCAAGAGATAGTAGATGCTCAGTAAATGCTACTTCTCTTGCCCTCTTTTGCCTCAATTGACTGTAATATTTACATTTCTACACATAACATCTAAGGATGTAATGCAATGAAGAAGTATAGGAGAGTGTTCAGATGCCCGTTTCACCACTTATTAACAACCAATTTCCTGCCAAGCTGGGCAGAAGAGATCACTCATATGTGTACTATGTTTTTATACAATGTGGCTAAAGAATGAGTATGGACAAAAAACAGTTTAAAAGTGAGGCAAATGTATTTATCCTCTCTCATTCCACCATAATGCCTTCCAGCCAAAAAATTTCAGAGCTTGGCAGATTGTACATATGCAAATGTGATGTGAAATACTAGAAAAGGTTAGGAAATGCTAATCATGCTTTGTTAGTCTGAAATGTGTAAAAAGTCACAAATTAGAATAACCTACAATATGGGTCTCATCAGAGCAAATTAGATAAAGGAGACTGTTCGCTTGACTTTCAGCAGGAATTGTTTTCAAAACAACTTTCAATGTTGTTGTAAAAAAAAAAATCATCACTTAAGATCATCTTCCAGGCTTAAAGAAGAGGAACAATTCAAATCAATATTTCTGAACCAAGGTTTTAGGACTACTAGAGTATTCCCAAGTATTTTAAGGAAAAC